CACAGAAAAGCCACTTTCTCCTGCGGCAATCAGGCAACTTGGATGCTACAGGGGGCCCTGGCTTCAGCACCACTACAAGAACATTTTCTAAGGACAGATCATCACACCCGATGAGAAGCCCGGTATCATAGCCCTGAGTTTGAAACGGTGATTGCAGGCTGATTCTTCCTCTCCCTGAGAACTCTGAGAACCCCTCACCCACAGGCTCCCTTAGTTCTCTTTCTACTAACGCAACAAAATACTTAAGACTTATATATTAAGTCTTATATTAAGACTTAATACTCTACAGAGAAAGGAGGTTTATTTAGACCATGGGTTTAGAAGTTCCAAGTCCAAGACTGAGGGCTTCACCAACCTCATCTAAGTGCACCGTTGGCTGCGTCAAAGACAAGAAAACAGCTGCATGCCAATGAGACCTAGTATATCGGGCGGGGGGGGGGGGGGGGCTCAGTCTTGAACTGTATAAGAAAAGTAGATGAGCCTGAGGCTGGGAGTGAGACAGTAAGCAGGCTCTTCCATAGTCTCTGATTCAGTTCCTGCCCTCAGGTTCCTGCCTTGTGTTCCCATCCTGACCTCCCTCCACGACAGACCACAACCTGTAAGCTGAAACAAACTCTCTCCTCCCCAGGTTGCTTTTGGTCATGGTGTTTACCACAGCAACAGAAAACAAACCAGAACAGACAGCAACCAGCTACCATAAAAGTTAATGAATTTCTGTTACTTGAGACAGCGTGGACACTACTGGACATCATTGCAATAATGGATGTAAGGCAGCTGCATAAAGACAACCATTGCCTGAAGTCGCTCACATGGAGAATTTAAGAAGCTGATCCCAGGGAAACTGAGAGTAGAACGGTGGTCACCAGAGGCAGGTGCACCAATCAGGAGCATGCTGTGGGCACAAGATGAGGACAGTAAAGTACTGTGTGTTCCAAATAGCTACAAGAGGCCCTGCCGCATAGATCAGCAGAATAAGGGGCTTGCAACCAAGCCTGACAATCTGAGTTCAAATCCTGCTCTCTGGCCTACATACACACACTACAAAACTATATTTTAAAAAAAGCTACAAGAATACCATAAAAAGCACAAATGTTTGAAGAGATAGATGTTTACCCTAGTTTGAACATTATGTTATATACAACTTATCAAAATATCATGCCATCACCATAAATGTACACAAGTTTTACATTTATGTATCAGTTTTAAAAATAAAGTTAAGGCGCTGAATACGGCTCAGTCAGCACAGATGCTGAGTTTGGATCCCAGCACTGACATGAGACCCAGGATACGGCAGGATACACCTGTGATCCCAACCCTGAAGAGCAGAAGCAGGAAGCCAGTTAGGCTAACCAAATCAGTGATCAAGCAGGTTCAGTTGGGGACTTGCCCTCAAAAGTTAAGATGGAGGGCCATTGAGGAGGACACCCAAACCTCTGGACTAAAGAGGTGTGCACACCACATACACACATATACATAACACCCATACATATAAAAACACCAAGTAAATAAAATACATTTTATTAAGATGGCTAATGGTAAATTTTTGTATTATGTGTATTTTCCCCCGATTTAAAAATCCTACCAGTAATAGCACATTCCTGGTGCAACAGGGACGACTAGCTCTCAAAGTTCCTGGGCACCAAGGAGATGGGGACAGATGTGGTGCACAGAGTATCTAGGTGGTCTCACTCCTAGGTGAGGGGTGAGGGGTGGAGCAAACCAGAAGTGGCCATGTGGACTTCTGGTTTGCAGGAAGGGGCAGCTGACACCTCTCTGTGTCTTGTCTTGAAATGCAGGTCTCCCTTAACAGGGCACCAAAGCAGCAAGCAGCAGCCACACAGGGTGACGACCCTTGCGTGGGGAGAGGAGAGAAAAGCACCCTCCTCCCTAGTCACCTCCAAAACCACGAAAGAGCAAAGCCCAAGGTCTTGGCACAGCAGGGGTGAGCAAGGGTCAGGGGGCCCTGCTGCTGGGAAGCCCTGTGGACGCAGGACAACTGTAGGGGAGAGGACACTGTCGGGGAAGAGCAGGGAATCTGCATGCTCAGTGTGGAGGGCCTCAGCCCCACTGCCCCTCACCGGATCCACGGCCAGCCACCAACCCTGTCTGTCCCTGCCCTGCACCCAGGGCAGGAGGCTGTCCTTCCTCCTCTGACGTACACCCAGCAATGCTGGCTCAGCTCCAGATCACCCCAGTGAAGCAAATGTCATTCCCAATACATGCAAAGCTTGTGTTTAGTCTACCCCATGCCCTGTAAGAGTGCAATAACAGTATGTCAAATTATACACATCCCATTAGAAAACCATTGCTCAGAATTCGAACAACCATCCGAGCTGTTGGGAAGACTTACTCAGTCTGGAAAATCCAGGGACCAGGGCAGGGCAGACAGAAGGGTAATCAACAATGGCTGCCTACCCCTCATATCTGGGAGATGTTTATGACTGTATGGTACTGACTGTCCTGACTGGCATTAGGAAGTTGACTATAGAAATGTATTGGTTAGATGGTAGAGCTCTAAGACGGGGAAGCTATGTGTTAAAATCTTGTTTGCCACAATGGGTCATGAAGTGCAGGGCTGGAATATGCCTGAACAGCAGAAGAGAAACCTAATGCACAGAGGCCTTGGGTTTATTCCCATTCAACACACATGCACACACGTGCGCACATACACACACAAATGGCACACACATTTTTTTTTCAGAAATGTGGGTGTAAATAATGTAGTGATATTTCATTTGTGTTTTAATAAATAAAGCTTGCCTGAAGATCAGAATGCAAAACAGCCACACTGGTCAGCCATACAGGCCTGGCAGTGCCGGCACACACCTTTAATCCCAACAGCCACACTACTTAGCCATAGAGGCCAGATGGTGGTGGTGCACGCCGTTAATCCCAGCACTAGAGAAGAATATAAAGCAGGATGAGACAGGTACTCGCTCTCTTTCATTCTGAAGATTTCGCTGAGGTAAGAGCTCTCTAGTGGTTTGGCTGCTTTTGCTTTCCTGATCTTTAGGTTGAACCCCAGTATCTCAGAATTTTTATTAATCATGCTACAAAAATACATAAGCCAATCCCATAGTAAACCATATTTTGTTATCCAGCTTTACTACTATAACAAAATGCTTGAGATGACCAGCTTATAAGGAGGAAAGGTTTATTTGGGCTCACAGCTTTGGAGACTGTAGTCCACAGTTGGTGGCCCTATTGCTTCTAGGCCTCTGACAGTGTAAGCCATCATGACAGAAAGGACATGGTGGAACACAGCTATTCGTCTTGTGGGAACACAGGAGGAAGAAGAGGCAGAGGGCTTGGGTACCACTGTTCCTTCTAGAACACACTTCCAATGACCTGAAGACACCCCCCACACACACACACACACTAGGTTCCATCTCTTAAAGGTTCCACAACTTCATGATGGAACCACCCCAGCGATCTAGGACACCCTGGATCCAAAGAGCAGCACCGGTCATCACCAAGTGGCTGCATCTGCCCTCTCATATGGCTGGCAGTGTACCCTGTATACACGCGGATGGACATTGTCCTGTGACAGCATGACAGCCCAGGCAAGGTCACTAGGCTGTAGAAATTCACCAGGTCCACTCCAATCGTGTGTGTGTGTGTGTGTGTGTGTGTGTGTGTTGCACTCTTGACCAAGAATATCATTATGTGGTTCAGGGAAGACAGTACACAGACAAGAGCAGGCTGACCTGGGGCAGGTCAAGACACTCCCCAAAAGGTAAATGTAGTCTAGGAACTGAGCAAGCCACCAGCCCTTTCCTGGAGAGCCCTCAAAAGAACCACCAGACTAGCACCTTGGTCTTGAATTTCAATCCTCCAAAACTGAGAGACTATAAACTCATGATGTTTAAACCACCCTGCTAGAACCGTGCAGAGCTGGCCACTCTAACTCCCCAGCAGGAGGTGCCCTTGAGATGACACATCTTTACATTCAACATCACATAGTTGCAGGTCCCTCAGACCAGCCCAGGGACCCTGCACCATTCACTTGGGACTTTCTGTAGAGCCCCCAGCCTGCTTTTTGATAAAGGAGCCTGCCCACAGCAATAGCATCTTTGGGTTGGCTGCCTGGGTCGCCCATGAATGGTCTGGGTGTGGGACAACGTAAGAACTGTTACTCCCACACAAGGCACAGAGACCCTGCCCACTTCCTGCCAGCTCCTGAAAATCTCTGAAAGAAGTGATGGATGCCCTGGGCTCATCACCACTGTCCAGGAAGGAGGGTCTCCAATAATACATCATGGAGGATTGAGGGTACCCTGACAGCAGAGACAGGGACAGTCATTCCCATGGGCAAGACACAATTAGTAGCCTGCTGGTCATTTGTCCTCCACACATTGCTGCCTCTTCTCTATGCCTTTTTCACATATACAGATGTGCAGGTTCCACATCTGTAGACCCAATCAACCACAGATTCAAAACTGTTTTTATTCCAAAAGTCCTAAAGATGCAAAACATTTTTTACCAACCAAACCCTCCAGAGAACAGCAGAGACCACATGAATGGTATGGTCATGGCCTGGCCTTTTCCTAACCTGTCATCTCCCTACAGTACAGTATTGGGGCTCCTGTGATGCCATACTAGGATTACAAAGGCCCAGTCCACACTGAACATGGGTGCAGTTATGTTTCTTGCCATCCCCGAAATAATAAAACAAGTATTCATATAGCAGTTGCAACATATGCAGTGTCAGAAGTCATCGAAGGAGGATGTATGCATGTCCCATGTAAATCTTGAGCACTTCACATGGGGCACTGGAGCATCCTCAGATCCAGGAACCCACAGAGGCCCTTGACGCCATTCCATGGATACCAAGTGACCACTGTAGGTGTTACCGTTTCAAACCAGACAGCGCTGGAAATCGGCATGAGTACATGAAAGTTTGGTTGGAGAGAGGTGAGGTTGTGGCCAGGCATGTTAATGGGGACTTGTCCCAAGGGCACGTCGGGAAACGCGGAAGTTGGAAAACACATCCCACTCACCGGCAGTCTCCTCACAAAGTCCAGCCTCCACGAGGTCACCTGGCAGAACTTCAGCAGTGCTTCGGTATCCAGAGAACTGCAACAGAAAGATCACAAACACGGAGTCAGTGGGCTGGGAAAGCAACCCACTCCCTCACAGACACAGGGCAGAGTCAGAACCCAAGTATTCTCCTCAACAGGCAACATCTGGAAATACAGAGTGCAGCCGGTCATGAGTTTCCTGACATCTTCAGGGTCAGGCGGAAAGGTCAACACAGACCACTAACTGGCCTACAGACTGGAGCCACACTGAGTATGTGAGGGACAGACTTCTCAAACTCTTTTGCAGGAAGACCCTGAAATAAACAAAATATCCCTTCACACTCCCACACCCCTCTACACACATACACCCCACACATTAGAGAATCTGTTCCCAGCTTGCTTTTTCCCAAAGTAGCAAAACACTACACAAGGCTCAGAGCTCCGTGCAATTCGAGATACTTCTCTTAAAACGGTATATGTGACATGTGGATAGGATATGCTTCTGCCAAATGCAATGAACAAGGACTCCGCAAAGAAACGGTGACCTTGCTCAAGTGCCAGTGCTTGAAGAGAGCCACCAGGTGAGCAAGAGACACCATGTCCTCCGCGGCTTGCTTGTTCTTTCGGCCCTGAACCGCAAAGACAGACAGACACCTTGGTCCCCGTCTTAGCTCTGCTCCTGGGAGAGCCTGGGAAGCCTGCACACCCGCCTGAGCTTCGGAGGATTCTGCAGCCCAGACACTGAGTTGGCACCACCACCTCCTACACGTGCCCTCGGTTCCTTCCTGCACACCCTGCCCTTTCAAAGGAGGAGCTGCCTGGAAACCAACTCTTCCTTGAGCGCTAAGGCAGGCCCCTGCTGCGTTCTCTCCTACAGCTTCTTCAGACAGATTTTCTGTCCTGCTCCTAAAGCATGCCACCCAGTTGGAGCCTCCCAACTTCTGGGACCCACTATCATGCCTAAGGAAAAAGAGTGGGGAGACCCAGATCAACTCTCCCCCCATTCATCTGACCCACCCCAGTGAGCATGAGAAACCCGCTTTGCCCAGGGATTCTCATGGTGTGTGACGTCAATGGGCCGCCATATGGTGGTACACTGCAAAGGCCGATCCCCAGGCTCTTGCCTCACTGGCGCTGAGGTCCATGAGAGGTTTGAGGCTATAGAAGGAGGTCATTGTGTCAGTGAGGTCCATGATGACCCGGGAGAACAGAATGCAATGATCTCCCTCAGGGTGGAGCTCGTAGGGTGCAGATCAGTGGGACACTCATGAAGCAGTTCCTTCCACCCAGAATATGCTGATAAAAATGATTCAGGGAAAAAGGGGGTGCATAGAAAAAGTCTCCCCTGACCGCAGCTGCCTTCCCTGGATCCTGGCCATGCATCCTAAACAGAAGCCCAGGAACTGCCTGCCAGTTTCTAAAACACGGGCACCCATCACTGTCTCACTGCACACCTGCCCTTACTAACCTGCGAATGCCACCTGCAGTGTGTTCCTCAGGCTAAAAATACATCCACAATCTTCCTCAGAAATGCCCCGTGGGAGAGTGGAGGCTGCCTAGGAGCCAGGACAGCTGCAAAGGCCCCACAGTTCTCTCACTAGTTCCGCATCCCACACCATTGATGGGGTGGGTGACCTATGGCAGGCCACCTGGGGCAGGGCTTAGGTACTTGGCTTCCTTCATGTACCAGTACCCAGCAGACGACCCTCCTGTATGGGCACCTTGGCATCCTGCCCATCTTTCTCAGGCTGGACACTCTCCAGGCCCACCCAGGAAGACATTTACTGAAAGTACGGGCCACTGCAGCACTTACAATCCCCACAATTGTTAAGCAGCCAACAGAGCTCAGTTCCCAGGGCCAGCTGCTTCCCTCTCCCCCACACCTGACCCCCCAGAGCACCAGGAACAAAGAGGTGGGCGCCCACATCCCAAGCCTGCACTTCTCTGCACCTGGTACTGGCTGCCATGGCTCCCCTCACTATGAATGCTGACCCGGCCTGACACAGCCAAGCCTGACCAGTCAGGGGGTGACTCGGCCCACAGGGAAAGGCAGAGGTAGATCGTCAGGGCCACCCTTCTCCCTGGAATCACCACCTGCAATGGCTGACATCACATGCTACAGCCTGGCTACCAGCCCTGCCCTGACGCTCTGTACACCCACACAGGTGTCCCCAGCCAGCTCCTTCCCAGGAGGCTCAGGGAGCCCCTTCTCTACCTAGTATTGAAGACTCTGCTGGAGACACAAGCAGGATTGTATGGACCAGGGCATAGGGAGCCAGGTGCAGGCATACAGGACCGCAAGATGACCCAGATTCCAATAGTCAAACAGCAGCCAGCAAGAGCCTCCTCCGTACAACACTCAACCCCTTGGGCATCCCGGCCCCAAGTGAGTCTTTTAGAATCTCCCACACTCACTCTGACTCTGAAAGGCAACTCAAGGCACTCGCTGTATGAATTGGTGACACTCTGGTCTCCACCAAAGTATTCCCATCCAGTGGACAGAGTTCTTGGTTACTCAGACCAAAGCCGCAGTGACATCCTGGACCCATCTCCTTCCATCACTCGCGCGAATTCTACGCGGGCTCCACTGTTGAACTTCACAGACCTCCCGGGACCATTGCTGCTCTCACCACTGACGATCTGGCTTCCTTATTCTTCCTTGAACAGACAAGCAGGGGTCTATCCCAGGGCCTTTGTGCATCCTCTCATTCTCTCCCATGATGCTTCTGGGCAGGTGTCAGCTTCCTGACCTCACTATTTAACCCACCATCTGTGTCCCTAGCCTTTCCTCCAAGCTTAAAGCTGCCTCATGACACTTCCCAGCACCGACATACACCGTCTTTCATTGATGGTAGCCATGCCTGCCTCCCCTCACCAGAAAGCAGGCTCTATACGGGAGGAGCTGCTCCCTTTCACAAGCTCTCACATCAACAGGGCATCTCTTCAAAATGTCCTTGTCCCTTTCAAATAGTTCTGGGATCCAGACATGTCCTGTGAACAACCCCCACCCTTAACCTCACTATGGGCAGCTCACTGTCCATGTTCTGAAAGCTTTGAAGGTGACAGGGTCACACAGACCAAGTGTCAAAGCACTTAAGAAAGTGTTGACCTAGAAGCCTTGAGTGGCTCAGAGTGCAGAGTGGGAGGGGCAGGAGCCAGACCCAACAGAGAGGAATTAGTGGAAAATTATTCTGATGCATGGCCTTTTCGGGCAAGCAACAGCCTGGAAGGTTCTAACTCAGGGGAGCTCCAGGCTGACCTGCCCAGTGAGGAGAGCCTAGCAGTGACAGAGCCTCCCCTGAGTGAGTGCATTGAGGAATGACAGGCCTGGGGGAATTTCTACTCTCACCCTGTCCTGCCAAGCCAGCCAGTCACGGACTCAGAGTCTCGGAGCCAAGTCCCAACGGAGTCAGGACCTGCATGTTCTCTGTCTATCACCCTGTGTCGGAAGCAACCTGGGCTCAGTGAGCAGCCACGGTCACCACACGGCTGCATTCCTACCAGCTGCCTTTTCTGCTTTGTCAGCTCGTGAGAAAGTTGGGACTTGGTTTTATGCCAACAGGAAAATTCTCCTTTTCTAGAAACACCCTCAAGATGGTCAAAGGGAGAGAAAAACCAAAGAGCCATGACAAGTTGTGTGCAAATTCTCCACATTCTCCACATGCTGAGTGAAGTGCCCAACACTGCACAGACATGGATTTGGGGTGCATTTGAGGATAATCTGGCACCTGGTTCCTCAGACAAGCACAGATTAGAAACAATGAGTCCTCAAAACACTGGCTTCTGTCTTCCAGACAGCCATGCCCAGCTCTGGGAGCTGAGACCCTTGGACTGGCAGTTACCTCAGGTAGGCTGTCTCGCCAGGTGCACGGTGCCAAGGATAAGACCATGGACCAAGCAACACTCACCTATGCCGACCGTTCCACAGCCTCTGAGTTCACGCCTCAACCAACATCTCCAAGGCATGCCTACAGGTGGCTGTTTTTCAGCTGGTCCAAACTGGGCCTCATCTCCCCTTACAGGACCCTGCTCTACCCACAGCCTCCCCCTTCCAGCTGGACTACCCAGCCTTTCCCCCTGAGCTGGCATGCTCCAGCTTCGGATGAACTCTTCTTCCACAGCCTTCCCACATGCCAACCTGGCTTCCACCCGTGACCTCACCTCACCGCCCCACACTGGCCTTGACCTCCAGCTCTGGTGTCAACCTCCAGCTCTTGGGTTTCTCCCTACGACCCCTGCTTTGACTCTAGCCCGCAGTCCCTTCTGCCAGGCCTCACGGGTACACCCACCAGTACTAACGGCCGCTCCCTGTATAAGCAGGACAGTCACAGGCCTATATGAGATAAAGCCCACCAAACACCTATTTAAAGACAGTACAGTAATATTACGGGATGTCACCAAACTGAGCACAGGTAGAAGGCTCTGGAGTTAGGTAACAATGAATGTCATGAAGATGCTTAAAGCCACCACGTTAGACACTTCACAGGGGTGAACTTCATAATATATAAATTATATCTCCCTAAATCTGTTAGTAAAACTTCCACCAGAAGTGGTATCCCATTATCCTCTGCTGCACCCCAACTGTCTCCCGAGTACAAATCCTCAGGATGCCTAGAGAAGCCTCTGTCTTGCTCCATGGCCTCTGGCTTTTCTCCTGTCCCTTGCTCTGCCCCACTCCCATTGCCCACTGCCATGCCTCAGACATACCAGGCCCGCTTCTGGTAGACACCAACATGGATAACCTCCCGAAAGGCCCTGCAGATGCCACTTGTACCAATCCACTCACCTATACCTGCACACCTCCGAAAGTAAGCTCAGTATTTGCCACTGCCATCACCCACTGGGGCAGAAGTCCTCTTCCTCGGCTGTGCCCCTTGGTATGTACCCCTACCTTTAAGTACACTTACAACTGTACTTAAAGGGTGACCCAGTGAGTATGGACTCAGTAACGGGCTTACCCCTGAACTGAGTGTTCAGAAAAATCAATGGCTTCTCAGGAGGCCCAACTTCAGAATCTGGGATGCTTCAGTCACAATTCGATCTGCAGCCCCCACCATGCACTTATGGATGAATGTTCACACCCTCCTACATTCCTGTGCTGGGACAAGCTGAGCCAGAAACCTTGAGTGCGACCTGAAAGCTCACCTTCAGGCTACAGCTTGGAGGTGCAGCCAAAGCCACCTAGACCTCCTTACAGGCCTCCAGGGCTCCACAGCCACACAGGAGCCTGACCCTGAGGGCTGGAGCAGGTTGTGCTCTCTGAATCACCACAGCCAGGCTTCCCTGTGGGGCCAGGAGACAGCCTGTTCCTCAGAGCCACCCACACCCAGGCTATTTCCTGTTTCAACAAGGAGAGGAGCCCTACTGAAAAAGAATCTCTAAAATCCCTGCCCTCCACCACGTGTGTATCCATCCTCACAGAGCGCCGGCAGGAACGGAAACATTAAAGTGACTTGGGAACTCCTGAGGCACAGGGGGACTGTGTGTCTCCCTCTGCGCAGTGGCCACATTCACACGCAGAATGGTGCACGGTCACCCACTCATGCGACATCACGGAACGGCACAGCTGGCAATGGCCACCAGCCAGCTTCTTCTCAGATGTCTGGTCTCTGAAGCTCCCATGCACCCATGCCCACCCAACTCACCCATTTGTAGAGAAAAAAAGCTCCATCCACACAAGAAAGATAGAGAAAGAAGTCGGGAAAGAGGAACCTTCAGAGATCAGGTCCAGTGCTCACATCTCCCATGATCCTCCAAGTCCTGAAGACATGAAGGGAAAGTGGCTTACAACAGCATTGCTTCTCCTCCTCTCGTGCAATGTGTGGGTCATGTATGCCCCATACCCATAGCCAGCCACCATTCCAGCGGGTCACTAGTCCTGAACAGAGAAGACGGGGTTAGCCCCGGAGCCCAGGTACAGTCCTAACTCTGACACTTACCAGCTCTGTGATACTGGCCGTACTGCTTAACTGAGCTTAACTTCCCACCCCCAGGGAATGGGCAGAGCCGCCTTCCACCTCTTGCAATGCTGTGAGATGAGACATGGGGATAGCCTGTGCTCGTGAGGCTCTTATGGTCAACCCGCTCCCTCCTAAAGGTGCAGCAAATGCATGCAGCTGTTACCACCTCTGTGGGGTCGGCTTTGCTAAGGGAGGGATATGGGAAAACGTGAGTCCGAGCAATGACCATCTCTGCTATGTTCCCCAGGGGAAGCACAGGGAAGACGCTGAGGCCAGAGAGACAGAGGGACACAAGGAACATCATTCCCTGGACCAGCCCACCAGCACCACAGCAGGACCCCCTAACCCTTCCCCCATGTCACGGGAAGCAAAGAGGAGAAAGGATATGACAAGGGACATTCCTATAACAGGAGGAAGTTAGTGAAGCAAAGATTTCTGCATAAAAAAAGTCAGATGAATCTGTAACCCTGTCAAATCCCAGAGAGACACAAACAGGGAGCCACAAAGTACAGGGTGGACATAGGCAAACAGCACATGGTCTGCAGGCAGCACAGTGGGCAGTGTGACCAAGGGAGATGTGAGGAACAGAGGGGGCCAGGGGCACTACAAGAGGGG